GCAGTAACGGCTCACAAAGCTGGTAAAATAAACAAGATTTCTGTTCAGAAACTTGTAAGCCAACTTTGTTTTTGGTGTGGTTTGGTAGTTTTTGCTGTCTTTAGGTAGTTTTTGGATCTGCTTTGGTAGTTTTTGCTATAGTTTGGTAGATTTGGTTCTGCTTTGGTAGTTTCTGAAGTAGTTTGGTACTTTGGTAGTTTTTGTTATGGTGTCCTAGTAGTTGGTGTGTTTTGATAGTTTTTGCTATAGTTTGTTAGTTTTGGGTGTAGTTTGGTAGTTTTTGCTATAGTTTGGTAGTTTTGGGTGTAGTTTGATAGTTTTTGCTTTAGTTTGGTAACGTTTGGTGTGGTTTGGTAGTTTTTGCTATGGTTTGGTTGTTTTTTGTGTTTTGGTAGTTTTTGTTATAGTATGGTTGTTGTTGGTGTGGTGTGGTGTGGTAGTTTTTGCTATGGTTCTGTCGTTTTTGGTGTTTTTTTTTGGTTGGGTTTGATAATTGTTTTTGCTGTACTTTGGTAGTTTTTGCTATGGTTTGGTAGCTTTTGATGTGGTGTGGTAGTTTTTGCTATAGTTTGGTAGTTTTTGGTAGTTTTTTGGTGTAGTTAGGTATTTTTTTGGTCGGGTTTGATAGTTGTTTTTGCTATGATATAATAGTTTTTGCTATAGTTTGGTACTTTTTGGTATGGTTTGGTAGTTTTTGCTATAGTTTGGTAGTTGTTGGTGTGGTTTGGTAGTTTTTGCTATGGTTTTGTTTGATAATCGCGTGTTTACATGTGACACGGCTAAAGCTTAACCACATGATTAGCCTAAAGGTTATCTTTTTTTTTTTTGCTTTTAATAACTAACTAACGTTACGCCTGAAAAGAAAACTCTTTTAAAGAAAAGCTTGTTTTTGGACATTTAAGTCATCCAACTTAATTGACAAATGCAGTAGATGTAAACTATCAGTAATTGACGATACTGTCACCAATCGGCTCAAGCCTACCCTTTTGTGTTTAGCATAAGCTGCTTTAAGGAAGTGCTGGTTTGTGTCAGCTAAAAGCCGGCTAGCGTGAAGGGAAGAAGTTGCTGTCTTTTCTTTTCACATGCTTGTATGTGGTTAGGTTTTCAGCTTTGACTGTCACAAAAACAAGGCTCTGTAACAAGTTGTACGCCAGTATCGTACTTCATTTGCCAGTCACAGACATAACACAACGCTATAACCACTTAGGAAAGCAGGTCCAAGGCCGACATTAATGATGCGTTAACATTTTTGATTTCCATACATTTCGTCCCCAGATTTGGCCCACATTGTTTAAAAAGTTGGGAAACCGAACTTGAATGATGTGGGACTTGATAAAAATTGGCAGTTCAGACATCTGAGATTGTTTTGAACACTTGGCTGGGTCCAAAGTTCTTTGAATGTGACAGTGGTCCTTTACAGCTGTTGGACCAGCTCTTTGGTATTTACTGTCCTCATAAGAGTGCAGTTAATCTTTGGCTGAACTGTGGATTCCTGTAGGCTGTGACTCCTCTGTATACATTGCCGTGACAGTGAGCAGATACCCGCTGGGCCGTCAGTGTGCTGTACTCTAACTTCAAACCTAGTCATGCGTCCTCCTTTGAATGAATGTGTAATGTGAAGCATCTAATGATTAACATCATCCTTACTGTAACCATGTTACAGCTGTGGTCGATCGGATTAGTAAGTCTTTTCCCACATGATGTACGGCTGCAGCAGAAGAAACTGTGGCAGCGAACTTTTAAGAGTTAAACACTGAGACAGCTATTACTACACTCATGCCTCAATGCATGAGGAGATCAGTAAGGAAAAAGCGATTGAGAAGAAAGATGATTAGACAGTAATAAGCCTCTAAACTGGTGGGAATTCAATGGTATTCTTAAATTCACCTTTAAAGGCTGTTGCATATGACATGATACCCACATATTATATATCAAAATATTCAGAACAATCTCAGCTCTGCCAATAATGAGGCCGCTTTGACCCGGACCACCGTGCAAGGAGATAATTTAGCCCAAAAGCTGGAAAAATCATGTCCAGTTTTAGAAATTCTTAATCTCTCTTATGAAAACACAGCTTTACTCATGTGAACGAATTGTTTCGGTGCTTGAAATGGGTTCACCAAAGTTCATAAAGTAGTGGAATGTATGAATAAAATAGTAGGTAAATGTTCTCCTCGTCGCTACTTTCCACAACTACTGTAACAACTTCAGCAGCTGTGAACTGTTTACACGCCATTTCACATGAGTCTCCGATGTGGACTGAATGAAGAATGAAGGGTTTCTGGTGTGATGGTCAGTCCTTAGTGATTTCCTGAGTGTCGATTGGTCAGTTTCACACAGAATGTAGACGGACACACGAATCCACCAATTCCACACGGTGAGAGGCAGATGACGTGTATCTCAGCCCCTCTTCATAGGCTCATAACTCCGGATGTGAGTCTCGTATGATCTCGTGATAAGATGGAATGGAAAAGGCGACTCTACAGATTCAGGAAGTGTCTGAACTGGATTTCTGAGCTGGATCATCACAAAGATATTAATAGAAACACAGAGAAACATCTAATTTGGCTCATCTGTGCCGGAATTTTCTGGAGGTCTGTATAAAGTATTTTGTTAGTAGCTTACTGAGGGACTCAGTAGTACAGAAGTACAAAGACTGTCTGATGTAAACTGCAGGCTAAAATCACCACAGCTCTGAATCTCACCTCTCACAGAGAATTGAAACTGGCTCTGGCAATCCACGCTTCCCTGCGCTGGTTTTATCAATCCGATGGGAAATAAACACCTGTTCATCAAGCTAAATGCTGATAAACAGGCGCTGTGCTGAGTGCTAAGCTAAGTGCTGCTTTCAGGCACTAGCCGACTGCTGCCCACAGCGCCCACTAGTGGATTTATTAGTCAGCTAGTCTCTGAAACCCTCTAAAGCTATTTGTAAAACATTTCTCTATGTTGAATAAATATGTCATAAACAATTTCTGTCCATTTTCCATCTGTTCGCTCTTTGTAAGCAAGAACAGCTGATCTCCTCATTCCACTGATCAGTGTAACCCAGGTGTCCAGGCTTATCCGCTAAGAGCTGATTTGCCTGCAGGTTTTCAGTCCAACAATACAGGAGCACAGCTGATCAGCTGTGTAAAGACTGAGACCAGCTGATTAAACAGGTGGATTGGAATGAAAACCAGCAGCCACACTGACCCTGAGTGGAAAAGATCAGACGCCCCTGATAAAGGTGTACAAATACAGACTGTAGCTCATCTGTTGCTGTGCAGTTCATCAGCCCCACTCTACCCCATTCATCATTGGTCAGTTTCTGACCACAGGACTGCTGTTGCCCAGATAAGTCACTAGCTTAGCTAGGAGCCTTTCACCATAGAGGTTTAGCTAACTTTCAGGCCACATTCACAAGACGTTGCAGTTTCTAGGGCTGCAACTAATGATAATTTTGGTAGTTGAACAAAATGTGTTGATAATTTTTTTGATTAGTCGATTAGTCAACGATTATTTCTGTGATTGCCCTCCATCTCTGCCTTCTGTGGGCGTGGCTCCTGTTCTTGTTTTCCTTGAACTGCTCAAGTCCGCAAATGTCACCCTGTTGTCCAGTCTCTGCCTTAATATACACCAATCAGGCTTAACATTATGACCACCTCCTTGTTTCTACGCTCATTGTCCATTTTATCAGCTCCACTTACTGTATAGGTGCACTTTGTAGTTCTACAGTTACAGACTGTAGTCCATCTGTTTCTCTGATACTTTGTTAGCCCCCTTTTACCCTGTTCTTCAGTGGTCAGGACCCCCATGGACCCTCACAGAGCAGGTTCTATTTGGGTGGTGGATCATTCTCAGCACTGCAGTAACACTGACGTGGTGGTGGTGTGTTAGTGTGTGTTGCGCTGGTCTGAGTGGATCAGACACAGCAGTGCTGCTGGAGTTTTTAAACACCTCAGTGTCGCTGCTGGACTGAGAATAGCCCACCAACCAAAAATATCCAGCCAACAGCGTCCTGTGGGCAGCGTCCTGTGACCACTGATGAAGGACTAGAGAATGACCAACACAAACTGTGCAGCAGCAGATGAGCTATCGTCTCTGACTTTACATCTACAAGGTGGACTGACAAGGTAGGAGTGTCTAATAGAGTGGACAGTGAGTGGACACAGTGTTTAAAAACTCCAGCAGCACTGCTGTGTCTGATCCACTCGTACCAACACGACACACACTAACACACCACCACGTCAGTGTTACTGCAGTGCTGAGAATGACCCACCACCCAAATAGTAATTCTAAGTTGACACACTGTTATAATTGACATTGTCGGTTATGTCGACTAATTGTTGCAGCCCCGGTGGTCCGTCAAAAACGCGGTGATGCATGCAAGCAAGAAGCAATCAAACACGAAAGCTCATGAGCGAGAACTGTTCTAGATCTTTAGGGCTGGATTGTTTTACTCTAGACAGCAGTGATTAGTTTAGTCTTCCATTCTATTCCAAACTGATGTGATTGACTTAAGCCCCGCCCCATACCAGCTCCTGTTGGCTGACTCATGGTGCGCACCAAAAAAGGTCAGCTCATTAACCACTAAATGAGAGTAATTTTCACACATTGTCTTGTGGTGCTGTCTGTTGTCCATCAATGCGTAGTTTTCATTGAAAGCAATGGTAAAAGATGCCTTTATGGCCGACACTAAGACGTCCTGTGATCACAGCCTCAGGAAGATTCCGGAAAGTAAAGCTCTGACCCTTATTAGAAACCCCAACTTTGGGCTTCCACTCACTGGCTACTTCATTAGAAACCCCAACTTTGGGCTTCCACTCACAGGCCACTTTATTAGAAACACCTACCTTGTACTTCCGCTCTCTGGCCACTTTATTAGAAATGGTAAAAGATGCCTTTGTGGTCGACACTAAGACGTCCTGTGATCACAGCCTCAGGAAGGTTCCGGAAAGTAAAGCTCTGACCCTGGTTTGCAGCGTGTTTTCTAATATCATTCTCCTCTTTATTCACAGGGCAATGGATCCTTGGTGTGGTGTCAGAATCACAAGCAGTGCTCTAAGGTAAGGATCTGTCAGACCGAGTTTGGGGAACTGTGGGAATCTGTTGGAATAAGATGTCATTTTCATACCTATTACTAAACTCCCAATCCAGGATTGGGCATCGTAGACTCTTTGGAATAAACTGTGGAGTTGAGGCCAAACTGTGGATTACCTCAGCCATGTTTGTTGTTGTCAGAAACGTTTTACTCTGGACTGCCCTCTAGTGGATGAGCTGCTTAACATCCATGCCAGCGTAAAGGATGTGTAGAAGTTTGTGGGCAGTGACGGTTACATCGTTTGAAACAGACGTGTTCTTTTTTGTATGTAAAGGGAGTATAAATGAGCCGTGAGCCGTCGCTGAGCTGCTACGAAGTCCTCATAGCAAAGCCTGTCCACTCGGCAGGCATCTCGGTGATGCCGCTGGGTAGTTATTTTCCATCATGCAGGACCAGACTCCTGTGTCTTTGAATGGGAAAACACCTAAAAACTCAAAACTGAGGGTCAAATTGCCATTTCAGAAACGTTTCACATAAATCACTTGAAATCTGGCGACTATTTGGCTCAATGTTGCACAAAAAAGTGTTTATTCTGGTTGTTCTGGCTACTGTGCATGCAGATCCCCACAACTGAGCCCAAGTAGAGGGGGGTTTTCCCACTTACGGCGTAACGAGAAAGCCGATTGGCCGTTTTTACTGAAGGGCAGGACTTTCTCCATAAACTGACCAAGTATTGAGCATTACAAGCTTTCCCATTCGTTTTCCAACAAGTGACCTGCCTCCTCCTTTATAATGTCTCTGGCTGCTGTCATACTTAGTTTTTCTGAGGTTTTTTGTCTGATTTTTGCCCTCCTTCTACCAGCGCCACCTATTGGTGAGCTGCCAGACCACTAATGACCGAGCTACTCTGAATTATAATTGTGAAGTGTTTGTTTGGTTGTTACATTATTACTGTTATCCTGCCCAACTTTTTTGTATAACAAAATTGTTAATCTTACTCAAACACCAGGTTATTGAGCAAAAACCTAAATGTGTTCCTACATCTTTTCCACTTGAGTAAAATATGCTACAACAACACAGATGTAGCATATTTTAGTACATTGTGTTGATGTAATATATTTGGGTGAACGTGAATCAAGTCATTTTAGTGCATTGCTTTCTTCAGGGCTGGTTTTCTGACAGGCGCTGTGCATCAGGGACCCTGAGAAAGTGCAGCTTGTGAGTGTTGTCGAGTTTTTCGTGCAGTAGCCGAAGCAGAAGCTCCGCAGGGTTTCTCCTGTGGTTTAAGGTCAGGCGCATAGCAAACCTCTCACAGCTCTCCATCAGCACAGCTTTTAGCTGAATAAACCCCAACTGCACACGCACACGATCTCCAACAGGCACCATGACACTGAGTGCTGACGGCCGGTACTTTGTTCTGACAACAGTGGTTATACTGTGGCTGAGTCTGGCGTGTTTATTTTGACGGTGTCCGTCGCTCAAGGCAGACTGGAGGCTGGAAAATAAACAGAGCGAGAGAGAAAGACAGAAAGAGAGAGCGCTCTCTCTAACTCCTGTTTACATTGAGTCACAGGCCGATCGTGCCAGTTTGCTTTTCCGCTGTGTGTTTTTTTTTCAAACATCGGAACAGCTTGTCCGCGAGATCCTGTTATTCTACAGGTGACGACAAATTACTTTTCACTCTCAACTGCCTTTCAATGCGGACAAATGTGAGCCAGTCTGAGGCCTTGATGGAATTTACAAAACATGATATGTTACGCTCCCAGCCACTTCAAAAGAAACACCCACCTTGTACTCCCCCCTCACAGGCCAGTTTATTGGAAACCCCAACTTTGGGCTTCCACTCACTGGTCGCTTTATTAGAAACCCCAACTTTGAGCCTCCACTCACTGGCCATTTTATTTTAAACCCAAACTTTGGGCTTCCACTCACTGTCTACTTTATTAGAAACACCTGCCTTGTACTTCCACTCTCTGGCCACTTTATTAGAAACCCCGACTTTGGGCTTCCACTCACTGGCCGCTTTATCAGAAACCTCAACTTTGGGCTTCCACTCACTGTCTACTTTAATAGAAACCCCAATTTTGGGCTCTTCTCAGTGCAGCAGTGACACTGGCGTGGTAGAAACTGACCATTGGTGAAGGGCTAGAAGATCACAAACTCTGCATCAACGGTCTTTAACTCTACATCAGCAGGGTGGAGCTACAGGGGCAGACTGCGGTGGTCTCTAACATTTACTGCCTGGTGTTGTTTATGATATCATTTCTCAGTTTAATCCGCTGAACATGGGAGCAGCGTTTAATACCCTGCAGCCCTCTCCAAGAGCAAAGCTCAGTAAACAGGCCCTGCATAGCAAACCGATAATTAATTTCCCTCGGCTAGTTCTGCTTTTTCTTTAGACTGGAGTTAATGAGGTTGTCAAAGGGCCTTCAAAGAGGAGATAAAGTGCACTTTTAAAGCCAGCCTCCTTTGTTTTCCTTATAATGCACCAGAGGATGTGCGCGCCGTTCCTTTCTGGAGCTGGTTAGCGTCAGTTGCAGCGCTGTCCCTCGCCATTCATCACACTTTCTTTCTTTCTTTCTTCCTCTCTTTCTTCCTGTTTGTGAAGGCTCAGGCTGTTTGCAAGTGTAAGTGTAGAATTTTCCATTTATAATGTTCTGCGTCTTTGGACTGGACCTTTTCGAAAACACCTTGGCCGAACCAGAGCGGCATCAGTCTTCCCAAACTGGTGTCCAGAAGGAAACTTGTTATTTCCAGTCGTGGAACTGTTTAGATAGACAGTGCATAGAGAGAAACGTTTGTTGAGAACATTTCATAAATATTTAAGATGCTAGTATATTTTAGAGACTGAAATTGATCTGTATTCTGGAGTTCTGTGCTTAGTGCCAGCGGTCAGTGCATCTGTGGGTGAAACAACTGGACATTATTGCCTGTTTTCAGTGAAGACGGCTGCTGGGATTTGAATCAGCACATATAGACTTGATTGGTGCAGACTTGCATCATTATATACGTTTTTTGGAAAAATTCAGGTTAACCTCAACGTTATAGGACTTTCTCTAACAGTCATTTTCCCTACGGAATGGAGGCAGAACCACTGAGCAGAACCATGACTCAAAAGGAGAAAGTCCCTACAAATATGAGGAACCACTGAGAGGAACCAAGACTCAAAAGGAGAACCTCCTTAAGAACATGAAGAACCACTGAGATGACTCAACATTGAAAAGGAGAAACTCCCTAAGAATGTGAAGAACCACTGAGAGGAGCCAAGAGTCAAAAGGAGAACCTCCCTAAGAACATGAAGAACCACTGAGATGACTCCGGACTCAAAAGGAGAATCTCCTCAAGGATGTGAAGAACCACTTAGATGAACCAAGACACAAAAGGAGAACCTCCCTAAGAACATGAAGAACCACTGAGATGAATCAAGACCTAAAAGGAGAAACTCCCTAAGAACATGAGGAACAACTGAGAGGGACCAAGACTCAAAAGGAGAACCTCCCTAAGAACATGAAGAACCACTAAAACGGACCAACACTCAAAAGGAGAAACTCCTCAAGAATGTAAAGAACCACTTAGAGGAACCAAGACTCAAAAGGAGAAACTCCCTAACGACATGAAGAACCACTGAAAGGAACCATGACTCAAATGGAGAAACTCCCTAAGAACATGAAGAACCACTGAGAAGAACTATGACTCAAAAGGAGAACCTGTCCTCTAGGCCAGATAACGCAATCAGGATACAAATACATCTTTAGTTAATAGAGTTCTGTATAGTACCAATAAAGGTCCTATGACTTGCAACAACAGTGGAACCCTTTTTGGTGCTTTACAGAACTTTAGAGGTTATAAAAGGTTATTTGAAAAGCCTCGCACAACATTATGGAGAATAACTAGAGCCTTTAAGCATAAAAGAGCCTTCAGATGGTTCTTTGAGTTGTTGTGGTTGTGTGTAGCTCTTGACTAAAGAACCCTTGAAGAACCCTTTTTTACTTTGACTTGTAACAGTAGCTGAACCATTTTGGTGCTTTACAGAACAATTTTTTTTAAGTTCTTAACCATATACAGCATGTTCTCCATTATGGAGAAGAACCATTTAGCCATGCAAAGAGCCTTAAAGCATTCAGATGGTTCTTTGAGTTGTTGTGGTTGTGTGTAGCCCTTGACTTTACTAAAGAACCCTTAAAGAACCTTTTTTTTGAGAGTGTACTTTGACCTGTAACAGTAGCTGAACCATTTTCGGTGCTTTACAGAACAAGTTCTTAACCATTTACATGTTCTCTATTATGGAGAAGAACCATTTAGCCATGCAAAGAGCCTTTAAAGCATTCAGGTGGTTCTTTGAGCTGTCATGGTTCTATAACCCCTGACTTTACTAAAGAACCCCTGTAGAGCCTGTTCTGAGCGTGGGGCAGGTTTGCAGTGGCTCTGAGATCATACAGACGACCGATCCAGTCATATCGTATCATCAGAACTAATCAGTTCCCGTGGGACCCTCTGAGACGTTCCGCTTCCTCCTGAGCACATTACTGCACACATTTCGGATTTATATTCGGGCAGTGTGGGCTGCAGCTGACCGCTCATTATCTGTGTGCTGAGCTCCCTCAAGGCCAGGCCATCATGTACCATCACACCACGCTCAGAGTTCTGCTGGTGTCAGGATTTAAAAATCATTTCATTCTTGCTGCGTCTGGATGTTTTCCATCACGTTTTTACGACACTAGTGAACTAGCGATTTGTCACCGATGCGTTTAGTGTGCTGCCATTTATTTTTTGATTTCTGTGTTGATCTAAAGTAGAGGTCACTAATAGGCGGACTGCGGTCCGAGTCCGGACCAAGACGCAGACCTGGACCTGTAACTGATGAACTATTGAGAATTATTTAATTTTTATGGGGTGGTCCTGTTTTAATCGGCGTAACTTTTCTAGCCTTTGTGGTACTGGTTTAGCGGCCCGGGAGACTCTCAGACCAATCGCACGTGTTGTAAATATCACGCATGATGCTACTCAGCCAATCAGATCTGTGCA